GTAACTTGCTGGGCACTCTGAGAGGGGTGTAGTAATCAAACTTGGGTCGAACCATTGTCGGCCACGTTGGCCACGTGCAATGCAAAAGCCCTACCCACTGTGGAAAGATCAATATGGTCAATATTTTGTTATCTTGTTTTTCACTTTAAAAATGTTGCGTATAGGGTCAAGCTTTGCAGTATAGTGGAGGAGGTAAGGCATTAGCTGCCAGGAATGGAATCTAAAGCCTCCGATACACAAGGGATATGCTCTGCACTTGAGACACATTCTAGGTCCCAGCATAACCATATTTATGGATTAGCTATCCAACATAGTACCTGTGTCCAATCATAGATATTGTGGACTATGTAAAAGAACTAGTCTATTAATTTAGCAGTGTCAGATAAATTGGATAGCAGTGTTTCACCATGAGTTATGGTTTTCTAAATGTGTCTGCGATGTGGAAAGCACAATTGATAAAAAACAAAGTAAGAAATTAAAAAATATTAACGTAGGTGGACCCAGAGAAATATTACAGTAGGAAAGTGACTTCTCTTGAAAGTGAAGCATGTAGGTCCCATGGGTGGCACATGTGAAGAGGGGAACAGGCGCTTTCTTCTGATCTACCTCCGCCACCTGGGGCCTACTGGGTTACTGGATTCTTGTCTCACCTCGTAGAAAAGAATTTTAGGAACAGACAAGCAGTGAAGTAAAACAGATTATATTTGGAGGTTTTGAAGGGAAGGAGGAAGAGAAAGTGAGAGTGGAGAGTAACATGCTCAAGAGAGAGAGAACCGGGGCTTCTCCAAGGGCGGAGAGGGCTCCTACACACACCCCAGCATTACAAACAAATGCATGAAAGTACACATCTTAAGAGGGGAGATGTGGATGACACATGTGCTCGGGTGCCACATGTACTCAGTCATGTGGGCACAAGCAGCACATGGGCCTGGGCAGCATATAGGCGTCCTTCCTTTGTTCAAGGTTGCCTTCATAGGGATTCTCCAACCTAGGTAAAAGACCATTGCTAGGGAGATTACCAAGAGGGTTTGGAGTGTTGATGGTCTTCTTTGAAATTCCTTTTCTGGCTTTTTGTTTCTGCAGGAGCTTCTCTGGGCCTGTTGCTGTACAGAGGTGAAGGTCTTAACAGGTCTTAGTTTCTGTTTTCCTCCTGTTTTCTGCAAGGCCGGTTTTTTGTCATTGCCTTGGGATGAGGGCCTTCTTTATCTGCCTGCCTGCCTACATCACAAGCACATGACATCCTGGCTTATCTCCCTGGCACCCCATATGGTCTCCTAAGCATTGCCAGGAGCAATCCCTAAGCAGCCCTGGGGACAACCAGGTGTGAATGACCCCCCCAAAAAAAAAAACAAAAAAAACAAAACCAAAAAAAAAATGAACAAAATGACTTCAAATCTGCCCTGCTTTTCAGTCAGATTGCCATACTCAAGATTAGTGAGCATTTTGTTCAGCTTTAAGATAAATAGTAAAAACAAAATTTTTACAAAACTTCAGATGTTTTATAATATTCAGTCATATATGTAGCTCAGATGGTCAAAACAGAGTCTCTATACTTTAGTATCTTTAAAATCCATCTTTGAAAACAATTTAGAGGAAACCGATGCTGTTTTATATTTCTAAATTTTAGCTTAATTTTAATTCAGATAAATCATGAGACAAATGTTTGTCTTTTCTAATATTCTGCTTTCCTTATCATTTTAGGAGGAGGTGCTCTTTAATATTGGGCTTTGTATAGCTTCTTGTGTACTGGTCGTTTCTTAGAATTGGAGTAGGCCAGTGGATTATTGTTGTATTATAGTTGAGGTGGCCAGGAATTTTTCCACATAATTAGGTGATGAAGGCTGCGATCAAAGTCCAGTGCTCTGAGCAGGAAATAAACTGTGGGCTACCACCCGCCTCAGAGAACGCCACGCCCACTTGAGAAGGCCACGCCCCTAAAGTGTTGGCCACGTCCCCAGCCAGTCCAAATGCTACTCCACAGACCTGTTGGGGCAAGGACTAGTTGGGCTGGAGCTCCCTGCTGAAGTGGAGGCAGATGCCCCAAGCCCGGTCCTGGTGGTCCCGAGTTTGGGTGGGGAGTGAGCGCCAAGCGGGTACACAGACCTGTTGGGGAGGGGCAGCAACTAGTTCTCGTTATCATTTTAGAAATGACCAATTTTACCTTGAGAGCAAACACTTTTAACAAAAACACTTTTATTTCCGTGCCTTGTCTCATCATAAATACATTATTTTTTTCTCCTTGTACTCAGTTATTTTTCTCATTTCTACTAACTGATTTACACTTACAGTAGTTTTTAAAACTCTTCAAATATCAATTTCCTGGCTTCAAAAGGATAAGCCATGCTAAACAGGGGAACAGCACTATTCCCAGCTCTCTGTGGTACTGAGGAAAGAGCCGTGAACATTTCCCTCAGCTGAGAGGGAGGCTGTTGCCTGAAGTGAGATGACCAGCAAAGTCAGGACTGGCTTCTGCTGAGGTGACACAGGGATATACACAAGAGGTACATGATTTCTTTCTTTTTTTTTTCTTTTTGCTTTCTGGGTCAGGCCTAGTGATGCTCAGAGGTTACTCCTGACTTTGCACCCAGGAATTACTCTTAGAAGTGCTCAGGGGACCATATGGGATGCTGGGAATGGAACCCAGGTCGGCCGCATGCAAGGCAAGTGCCCTACCTTCTGTACCATTGCTCCAACCCCGTTCCTTAAGATTTCTATCCTCATCTCTTTCTCTCCAGATTTTACTACTGGGGAGAAAAGTCAAGCCTTTCCAATTCCCTCTCCATGATTAAGCAGCTCTATTGAGAGGAGTCCTTGCTATGCTATAACATAAAAACCCGAACATAGGTTATTTCATGCCATTTACCAAAATAAACATTGAAAAAAACAATTCTAGTTTTAAAATAGCATAGTAATCTAGCACATATACAGGACATGTTTTCAATACAAAATCATTTTCTTTACACAAAACTAAAGGTGAATGACTTAGGAGCCTTCCAGATGATACTGAGATTGAAATTCCCACTGCAAATTAAAACAAACAGGTAAAAACCAAATCTAAAATGCATCATGACACAAACAGAACAAAACCAAATTCCCAACACAAGTCCAAACTCAACAACAAAAAGCAGCATTGGCATTCAAAATACAGATACAAATGGAGCTCCTTCAAATGCAAATCTTCCCAAGGAGGAGAGAGGTAGGATTTACAAAGTCTGCTAATTCACCTTGTAGGTACCTCAGGGCCCTGAAGATCCCAGATAGCAAAAAGCCCTGATTTAGAAAAAACAAACAAAAACCTCCAAATGGAAAGGACAGACAGTTTTCTTTTGATACCTCAAATGAAAAAAAAAAAAGTCTGAATGCCACAAACCCGAGATTATTTGCTTGTGTATACCAGCACAGGCAACCAGCGCAGCTCTCAACAAATTTGATCCTGAAAGCCCTAGTAGGTGCTGGAGGCAGCCACTCTGATCCATGGGAACCAGGGAGAAGGCCAGTACCACGCTGAGAGCAACTGTTGGCTCCTGGCTGCTCTGCCAAGTTCTGTTTACAGAACCCAAGTTTGGTGCTTACCACTTTAAGGCCAGTATTCAAGAGACAAGCGTTTATGCAAGAAACAAAAGGGTTTATGCAGGCACTACCAACTTGAGAGGATGGTAGACTCATTCATGTCTCCAAATAAGCAGGCAAACAAGCAACAGCGTCTTCTTATCAGGTTAGAGCTAGGGCTGATGGGGGAAAATAAGAAGAAATTTCGTCCTGTTCTCATTCCCATGAGCACTCTACATGTGATTTTGTTCCTAATACATATTTAATTACCTTTCTGTACTAAAACAGCCTTCATTAGCATAAGGGATCTTCCATTTTGTTAACTCCTCTTCCCAGAATACTTATGAAGAATCTTTGGCACAGAGTCGGTGCTCAATTAATATGTATGTGTGCAGAGACTTAAGAAGTGAAGAAGGATGTGTGCCAAATAATTAAGAGGTACTGCTTTTGAGTGGGAAGTAGTAAAGAAGATCAATTAGGAACTGACTTTCACTTCCTACCAGATTTGTTTCAGCTAGTCATACATTAGTTAAAAAGGAAACTATTTTACTTTAGTAGAGAGGCTCATACAACTTTTCTTTTAGAAAAAAAATCGGGAAGTTTTGATGTTTTAAATAAACTGTGTTTTTCCATAATGCCCCAAAAGTAGAGAAAGAGTAGAAGGAAATTGTCTGCATTATTTCATAGATGCAGAAGGAGAATTGGGAAGGGGGGCAGTGTGATACTTGGGGACATTGGCGGTAGAAAATGTGCACTGGTGGAGGAATGGGTGTTCGATCATTGTAAGACTGAAACTCAAACATGAAAGCTTTGTAACTGTATCTCACAGCGATTCAATAAAATAAATAAATAAATAAATAAATAAATAAATAAACTGTGTTTTTATCTGGAAGATAAATTCATGTGGCACACTACCTATCTTGAAATGTTTGATAAGTTGCATGTTACTATGTACAGTAAAATATTCCTAATTTTTAAAAAACACTGAAACATGAAACAGTAGAAACTTTTCACCCAGTTCTCTTTCCTTTGAACTTAGTCACTCAATCTCATCTAAATCATTTAAACTGATTTCTTCCTCAAAGTCATGAGACCACTGGCTTGATAAATAAATTATGCTTATCTTTTTTTCCGTTATCAGATTTACATGTCCACTTTATATACTCATTCTGAACAGAGTTTTCAAACTTTTAATAAGCATACTAAACTTGTAATACCTGTTGTGATATCTGTTGGCTTTAAGTCCAAACATTAAGTCAACATTCATTTGAGAGACCTTCAACTTACTGAGTATTGCAGTTTTCTGATTGTTTTGGAAGCTCTTCTGATACCTGTGTACTTAGTTCAAGGACATTTGATTTTTTTTTTTCTAATAAGATGAACAAATAATTGTTTACTTTGGTCACTCAAGTGCAAGATCCAACCATATATAAAAAGTCTAGGTGGAGGCCCTATTTAGTTGCATTCTTACCTTTCTAAGCATAGAAGATTAAGTTAGATTTGCAATATGCTGACCATGTCATTGATCTGGGGAGTTGTTATAGCTGTGTGTTGCTGTTTGTGGCTTGTTCTCGGAAAGAGAAGAAGGTAAGTAAAGCTTTATTTTTAAACCACATTTTAATTTATTCACTTATTTAACATTGATCACTACTATTTAATCAGTGTGGTAATCTGTACCTCCATATAGAAATGAATATTGTATTTTCTTCCTACACATTTAAGTTTTAAGAAATGATTTTGCCTGGTAGGGTTCTAACTTTCCCCAGATACATAAATACTTGAATAGTTAAACAAAAATGGAATACATTAACTTTATAAGTGCAGATAAAAATGTATAAAGAATTTTGGTTAATTAAGTTTAGAAATGAGAGCAATTGTTTAAGTTTAGATTGTTCAACTTAAATTGATTCAAAACTAATCAAAACGTTCTGTGAAACTATTTGTTCTTATTATATACAAAAGTTACTAGAATTATAACCAGAAAAAATAAGATTTGTAAATTCAATGTAAAAGTTTGAGAATGTTTTGACTTTTTTAATTTTTATATGTTAATTTTAATTTTAAGGCTTTAACTTTCTTTAATTCTTGAGATTTAATTTTAATTTTAAAAGTGGTATCTAGTACATCTAACACATGTGATTTTAATTTTGACATACACTGATAACATAAAAATGTATACTTTTGATAAACATAATGTCATAAATTTTATAAGACGTTTGTAGTTTTTATGCATAATGGAAATTAATTTTAATAAAGATTCAAATGCTAAATGAAACTGCACTAAGAAGGGTTTCTTTCTGTTGTATGGATCAAACAGAGGTTTTGACTAAATAAATGCTCTTTTGTCATTTTTATGCTTTGTATAGTATGGACAAGAACGTAGAGTCTTTATTGATAATTGTTATGACTCTTTGATTATCTATAAATGCTAATAAAGCAATGTGAGTTGGGAAATTACTAAATGTGGTACACTCATTAGTATTTTTTCCATTATAATTTGTATAAGAATACAATAAGTTCCCATGGTTAGCTAGACATAGTTTTTCTGATTAGCTTAATAAGTATTTAGAGGTGGATATGCAAATATCTCTATTTTCACCTCCCAAAGGTAGAATTTACCAAAATATGTTCAGCTATGTAGATTCTAAGTGTTTTACAACCTTTTGCAAACTTCTTTGTTTCTTAAGATATTTTTTTAAGACCTGATACTTTCTAGTTTCAATTAAATAACTTATTAATTAAGTAAAATAAAAACAAATATTTTATATGATATTATATTAAGGTGGACAGTGGCTTATGTTGGAAAATTAATATTCATATTATAAATTAAAAACATTTAAATAACATGAAAGAGGACTAAAATTGATCCTATCAACACTTAATTTAACTATCATAAGTTAATTTCTCAGATGAGATTCCACATCTCTTCAACTGTCATTATATAGTAAAATAAACTAGGCAGATTCTGAAAATTTCAATTCCATAATCTTCTGTGTTATGCAGTATCTCATACAATTACAGAAAACAATCAGGAACTGGGGAGAAAGTTCAAGAGACTGAACTTGTGATTTGCATGTCGGAACCCCAGGCTTGATGCCTGAGCATTGAGTGAGGAGTAGCCACTAAGCACCACCATATGTAGCTCCCCAAACAAACAGGGAAATGGTAAAATAAAATAGTTTGAGAAATATAATTAAATGACACTTGAAAACTATATCGGTTTGGAGAGCGAGTGCAGGAGTTAGAGATACGTATAGACAGCGCAGCTTCAATCCCCATCACACAGGACCAACCAGATATTTCTGAATGTATACATTTTCTGAATGTATACTCAGAACTCTCCATCCCCGGCACTACCGGATGTGGTCCTGAAGGCCCCCCAGCACTTCCAGGGTTGCAATGGTGGTCTATGGACCTGCATAACCAGAGAAGCACCACATCCTCAGGCATATCATTAAATTCCTGAACTCCTGGCCAAAAACTAAGGGGTATTGGGGTTCTTTTGGGAGTTTTTTTTTTGGTTTTGGGGTCACACCCAGCAATGCTCAGGTCTTACTCCTGGCTATGTACTCAGGAATCACTTCTGGTGCTTGGGGAACTTACTGGGATGCCAAGGACTGATGATTCCCCTAACTCCTGATATGGTTGGCCAAATTTCTCTGGAGTAACCCCAGGTCTTATTAGTACTGCTTGAGGCCCACACCTCATATATATACTTAACTTTATTTCTGCCCTAAGGAAAGAATTTTTTAACTTTGGCATTTTTCTTCCGTCATTGGGAAAGGTAAACATATTAGACCATCAATGTTTGAGGAAAGTAAGCGTACATGGGGTTAATGACATCATTTCTACTAGTATGATGTAGGGGTGGAGCAATAGCACAGTGGGTTGGGCATTTGCCTTACATACAGCCAACCCGGGTTCAATACCTCCATCCCTCTCAGAGAGCCCAGCAAGCTACCAAGAGTATCCCGCCCACATGGCAGAGCCTGGTAAGCTCCTGGTGGCATATTTGATATGCCAAAAACAGTAACAACGAGTCTCACAATGGAGACATTACTGGTGCCTGCTCGAGCAAATTGATGAACAACGGGAGGACAGTGCTACAGTGCTACCAGTATGACATATTACTACTTTAAAGTTACTTCTAATATAGTAAAGGAGCAGGGACTGGATAGGGCTGGAATGATAGCACAGCGGTAGGGTGTTTGCCTTACACGCAGCCAACATGGATGACCCGAGTTCTATTCCTCTGCCTCTCTCGGAGAGCCTGGCAAGCTACCGAGAGTATCTCGCCCTCACGGCAGAGCCTGGCAAGCTACCCGTGATTGTATTCTATATGCCAAACACAGTAACAACAAAAGTATCCAATGGAGATGTTACTGGGCCCGCTTGAGCAAACTGATGAACAACAGGAGGACAGTGAAACTATAGATAGTATTTTGACGATTAAAGTCAATGGCAAATCTGATTTAAATTTTTAAAAAGTATGTAATTTCTTATATCTATCATAAATTTGTGTTTACAGGCAAATAGGTGAACCACCTCTGGAGAATGGGTTAATTCCATATTTTGGATGTGCTCTGCAATTTGGTGCCAATCCTCTTGAGTTCCTGAAAGCAAATCAAAGGAAACATGGTCATATTTTCACCTGCAAACTAATGGGAAACTATGTCCACTTTGTAACAAATCCCTTGTCATACCAGAAAGTATTATGCCATGGGAAATATTTTGACTGGAAAAAATTTCACTTTACTACTTCTGCAAAGGTAACCTATATTGCATTAGCCTTTATTTGTATACAATTCTCTTCATTTTCTGCCATTTTGTTTATTATTATACTTAATTATTTTAGTATATTTACAGATATAGATGTTGAAGAATTACTCTGACATGTTGGGTCTTAGATCAGACTAGACATAATGTATTAATACTAATTGTATTTAATATCTAGAATATGAATAACCAATTTTAGTTTTAGTTTTTGTGGTCATATCTGGTGTTCAGGGACTATTTCTTGCTGAGAGCTCAGGGCTTGCTCTTGGCAGTGCTCAGAGGATCATGTAGTACTGGGCATAGAACCTCCAGCATGCAGAGCATGGACTGCAGCATGCTGATTTATCTCCCTGGCCCAGATTTTCTGTTTGTCTGTTTTGTTTTGTTTCTTTTTTGGCCACACCCATCAAGTCTGCAGGTTCATTCATGGCTCTATACTCAGGAATTATTCCTGGCAGTGCTTGGAGGACCATAGGGGATGACAGGAATCTAACCTGGGTCAGTCATATGGAAGACAAGCACTTAACCTGCTATACTATCTCTCCACCCATCTATATTTGCTATTTCTTTTCTTTTTTTTTCTGCCTTTTTTGGGGACCACACCCATTGATACACAGGGGTTACTCCTAGCTCATGCACTCAGGAATTACTCCTGGTGGTGCTTGGGTAACCATATGGTATGCTGGGAACTGAACCCAGGTCGGCCGCGTGCAAGGCAAATGCCCAACCTACTGTGCTATCGCTCCAGCCCCTATACTTGCTATTTCTTAACCAGCTAATGAGAGTCATATAAAAATAGAATGCGTTACTTAAAAAGGTGGCACTCAGAGTAAGATGTACAAATACAGTCAGACCAGAAATATCTGAACAATACCCATAGTGCTTGTGGAAGGTGGAAATGCAATCCTAACACTTATTTAATCACACCTATGACACATATTTATTTAATTTTGTTAAAGACATGACCAGACACTTTCATTATTATATAATTTTTATAAAACTAGATAATTTTGATTCAATAGTATCTTCCATACGCAAATTGACTGATATTTACTGAGACTTTGTAAAGAAATTAGACAAGGTCTCTGCCACTACGTAGCTTAAAACCTTGCTAAGATATATTAATTAGTGCCAAATTAATGTACAAATAAATGCAGTGGCATTAGAAAAATAAGAAATTTATGCCCGAAGTAGTAGTTGGGGAGGCTCACAATGAAGAGAAGGGATTTAAATCTGGCCCTTTTAAAAAGGGTATGATTTGGTCATTCATTTGTGAGCACTGTAAAATTGTGAGAAGAGAAGATAGAAAAAACAATTTTGTATTCTTAAACAAATAAAAAATCATTTTATTTAAAATTTAAAATAATACAATATATTTTAGCCTTTAAGCCATCTGGTCAGGCTTAATTTTTTTCCATGCATTTTATTTGTTATTAGGCATTTGGGCACAGAAGCATTGATCCAAATGATGGAGACACAACTGAAAACATAAACAAGACTTTAATCAAGACCCTACAGGGTGATGCCTTAAATTCCCTCACAGAAACAATGATGGAAAACCTCCAACGGGTCATGAGACTTCAAGTCATCCCTAACTCACAGCCCATGTGGAGAACAGAAGGGCTGTATTCCTTCTGTTACCGAGTGATGTTTGAAGCTGGATATATAACACTCTTTGGCAGAGATATTACAGGGCAAGATACACAAAAAGCACTTATTCGTAATCACCTTGACAACTTCAAGGAATTTGACAAAATCTTTCCAGCTTTGGTAGCAGGTCTCCCCATCCACATGTTCAAGACTGCACATCACGCCAGGGAAAAACTGGAAGAGAGCTTCAAGCATGAGAACCTGGGGAAAAGATACCACATGTCAGAACTGATAAGGTTTATGAATGACACACTGTCTACCTTAGATGACATGGAGAAGGCCAAGTCACACGTCGCTCTACTCTGGGCTTCATTAGCAAACACCATTCCTGCTACATTCTGGAGCTTGTTTCATATGATTAGGTAAGTAACAGCTTATCCACTTAAATTTATCCCATTTAAATTTTAGTAGAAAACAGATTTTCAATTATGGTGGTGGTGGGAGGAATGGGGTGGTGTCGGGAGCAGAACCATTTGTAGAACCTTCTCGTGCTATCACTTTAGCGCATAATATTTACCCCTATGCTTCATACATCTCAAATCATCCAATTCTCACAAAAACAGAAGCAGTGGAACATGCTTCTTAGAGAAGCAGAGTCAAGGCTAGGGAAAAGAATGAGGGCTGGAAATTACCCTGGAAATCTAAAGCAAAATCCTTGCCTTTAAACAAGGCTGACCCTAAAAGTTTATGAATCCAGAATTCATGAGGAAAAAAAATTTGTAGGTGTATTTAAGTTATGGCTTATTAACCTGTGAATGGAAAATGAGGCAGTGCTTTTGCCTTACTTATTTGTGTACTGTTTCCTCTCTCAGTTAGTGATTACTTTTACTGTTTCGCCAACTCTGTTATCTATGGAGCAGTCATATCATACATTATTTATTAAGCAATTATTTATTATGGATGAAATTTTGCCTTTAAAACTATATGCAAAGAAAAAAAACTTTATGTATTGTATCTTATACAACATAGATTCACCCCCAAGTGCTAATTGTTTGAGATTTTGCAATGAAATGATTTATTGAATTATTCCAGTTAAATTGGAAGTTTAGGAGGCCAAGAGATACTACAGGGGTTAAGACACTTGTCTTGCATGTAGCTGATCCAGACTCAATCCTCAACCCCAAGTATGGTCTCCTGAGCACTGTCAGCAGTGATCAGTGAGCAAAGAGTCAGGAGTAAGTTCTGCATACCACCAGATATGGCCCCTTTTCCTAAACTCGGGAAGAAAATTAGTTCCTTTGTAGAATATAATTGTTCAATTGAGAATATCAGGTTTTTCATTGATAATTGATCATTTTATATCTTTAATATAAAAACTATTTTGGGGGTAGAATGTAGCTTAATGACAGAGTATATACTTTGCATGTATGAGGATATGAGTTTATTACCAAGCATCACGCACATAAATATTTTTAAAATAATTGTAAATATAAAAATTCCATTTCTAAACTTAATCTCAAATACAAAGTATCTTCCACAGTTTTTACTTAAGTAAACTTTGTTCAAATAAATTGATATATCTACAGTAAGGTTGCAACATCAATTTAATATCATCTAGGTGATAGCAGACATTTTATGCAGGCACATAAATATGATCAAATATTTCTCAAGCTTCATTTTTTGCCTTATGTATTTGATCCCATAAAACTGAGAATTCAGTAAACTTAGTACAAAAATGAATCACCAGTCTTTTTACAAGTCAAAATGGTATAGCAAGTTATAATATAATTACAAGATAAATATAATGTAAATATCAATAATGTACAATGTTTGTTAGGTAAATTTTTATTTGAAATCATAGTATGAATTTTAAGAGTTAATTCAAATTTCCCCTTTTTTGGTGAGGACTTCCAAGCAATACCCAGGGGACCCGGGGACCAGTCCCAACAATTCTCAGACAACTAGACTGACAGTTCAGTGTGGGACTGAGGATATAGGCTGTTTCCTGGGTCCTGTGTGTCTGGAACTACCCAGGCTATTCCAAGGGTGCTCAGTGGGTCTATAAGTCTACACTCAGTGGTTCTCAGAGGACCATGTACCATGGAACAAACTGAGGTCAGCTACATGCAAGGCACATAAGTACTGCCTCTCTAGCCTGTCAGCCAGCAATTTATAATACTTAAATAACCAATTCTTCTTCCCTTTTCCCACTTATGAATAACTTGACCATTTAATCTTTTTTAAGAAAACATTTATTTATAACTGGTTAGCCAAACTTTGACTTCGAAATAGCAAGGTTCCTTTAAAGCAGTAACTGTTGGTAATACATAAGGAGATAAACGCAATTATGAAACAGAATAAAAGGCAAATGAGACTGTTCCTTTCCCACCTTCTCTGGTACTTGGTTAAAAGGAGCAAATCTCTATTTGTTTGTAGACACGCAGTTTGACAAAAATTTCACTTTTGCACATCTAATTTTTTCTCTTAATTTTTAACAGGAACCCCGAAGCATTGAAAGCAGCTACAGAAGAAGTGAAGAAAACTCTGGAGAATGCTGGTCAAAACATCAGCTCTTGGGACCATCCTATTTCCTTGAGTCCAACACAACTGAATGACATGACTGTGCTAGGTAATACTAAGTGATATCCCATTTACTGTGTTCTTCAGACAGTGACCAGCATTATAGTGGTGAACTTAATTGTACCGGGCATGTTGTTAAGTGTTTCAGATGGATTCCCCCATTTGATCCTTATAACAAACCTGTAGCAAATGCAAATGCACTTAGTTGAGTTACAGCCTAGAGTAGAATGTGGACACAGTGCTAATTAAGACACTTGATTTTACACATTCTCTCAACTGCTTATCTACCCTGCTTTGTTTCCTTGGGTTTTACTATTATCACAAGTTTTATACTTAATAGAAGCATATTGTTAATATTCTTTTTCTTTTTTTTTTTTGGCTTTTTTGGGTAACACCCGGCAATGCACAGGGGTTACTCCTGGCTCTTCACTCAGGAATTACTCCTGGCAGTGCTCAGGAGACCGTATGGGATGCTGGGATTCAAACCCTGATCGGCCTAGTGCAAGGCAAACGCCCTACCCGCTGTGCTATGGCTCCAGCTCCTGTTAACATTCTTAAAATCAATGGGTGCCATCAAGAAAGTTAGCTGCAAGAGTTGGGGTTGAAGATTATTTTGGTTAATTTTAGTTTTCTGTATCTTATAGAAATATAAAAGTACTATATATTTTTTACACTAGGGAAGTTTCCCTTTTGTCTTTGTTATTTTTCTCAGGAAAGTTTCCCTTTCCTCTTTGTTAATTTCAAAGAAAGAAATGAATGTATACTTGAGGGATAGTTTATCTTAGTAAAGGAGATAAGCTGCAGTTCCTTCTTGGGCTCTTCATGCCTGTGAGAATCTGGGCCTATCCCTTGACTTTGGGGAGGCTTATTTCTTATTTGTAAAACAAAGAGCTAATAGCTAGGGTTTTACTCCCATTAATTTAGTGAGGATCCAACACATGACAATTATAAAAGATAGGTGTTGGTATGTCAGATTGAACCTTCTCAGTAAATGTATAGATTTTTAACTCTGTGGGGGTTATTCTAAATAGTATCCCCCAACAAATTTGTCAGACAGCACAGTATTACCATAAATAATCAGACAATCTAAAAATCAAAGCAGGTTCTTGTAAACACTGAAACATTTAAGAAACATTATTGTAAATATCAGAACTTATGGAAACATCAACTACCTGAAACATAAGGAAAATAATTTTTGAGTGAAAGAATTGTAGGCATATTGGGAAGGAGTGATAAGGTAGGGTATGGTAGGGTAGGGATTTGCATTGCAGGCAGCCAACCAGGCAGCAGATCAGGTTCAATCCCCACCACCCCAAATGGTCCTCCAAGCCTGCCAGGAGTGATCCTTGAGCACTGAGTCAGGAGTAAGTCTTGAGCACAGCCGAGTGTGACCCACAAACAAAACAAAATAATTATAGGCATATTAAGTTAGAAATTGATGATACACATCAAAGTGATTTATTGAATTTTCAATTACAATAAATATATAGTGTCATATAAAAAATAAAATTATTGGGACTGGAGGACAGAAAGTAGGGTGCTTGCTCTGCATGTAGCTGACCTGGGTTTAATCCCCAGCATCCTATATAGTTCTTCAAACACTGCCAGGAGTGATTCCTGAGCATAGAGCCAGGAGTGAGCCCACACAGCTGGGTATGCCTCACCACCCCCCAAGAAAAAGTAAAAATAAATTTTTTTTAAAAAATTCTGAAAGTCTAGTTTCTCTTGGTGACCAAGAATATTTTCTTTATTAAAAATTATTAACTCAGATAATCAGATTGAATAATAATGAGTCAATATGTGACTTAAGTCATAGAGTATTATATGCTCTATGGATTCCAAAAATCACCCTGAATGAAGGCACTGATCCCTGTGCACTGCAACAATGACAACAAAAGTACAGTTAGGGACAGGGAGACTATCCGCTGGGTTAACGTGAACACAATCTATGAGGGGGAGAGCTGGGTTCGGTCCCTGGCACTAAATAATCTCTCGAGAACAAAGCCAGGAGTAGCCTCTGAGCTGGTTAAAAATCAGAAACAAAACATACATTCAGATACAAGTGAATGATTGACTAGCATAGTGGTAACAGAAAAAAGCTTGGTAAATATTTGTCTGACCAGCTGCCCATAGTCTGTCTAGCTTTGTGTTATAGACTTCTAGAAACATTTGACCTTAGATTATATGGTCTTTAAATGCCCTATTTGTTCTTTCTTCTTTCTTTCCCTCCTCCTTGTCTCTTTTTTCTCACTTAAAAAAATGTTTAGACAGTATCATCAAGGAGTCTCTGAGGCTTTCTAGTGCCTCCCTGAACATTCGGCCTGCTAAAGAGGATTTCACTTTGCACCTTCAGGAAGGTTCCTTTAATATTCGCAAAGATGACATCATAGCACTTTATCCACAACTAATGCATTTAGATCCAGAAATTTATCCGGACCCTTTGGTAAGTGACTATCAAAGTTTAATATGCGGGTGCTATCTCTCCAGAGAGAAATAAAATGGAAGTTTCCCATTGCACAGTTGTTTTAAACATCGAAGCCATAAGGATTGTCTCATTCATCATGTCCAATATTTATATATTTTGAGAATCTGGATATAATGGGCTAAATCTTTTTATTCCTGATATTAATTTTACTACACAATATGTGCTCAATTTCAATTATATTTGTAGTTTGGGGTCTTTTAAGAAGTCTTCTGCTTTTTTTTCTCCTTAAAAATGCCTAAACCCAAATGCCAGAAGTTAGACAGATACACCATCTCTTTTAGTTTTGTTCTGAACTTTTTTTTTTTGGCTTTTTGGGTCACACTTGGCAATGCTCAGGGGTTACTCTTGACTCTGTACTTAGGAATTACTCCTTGCGGTGCCCACGGAACCTTATGGGATGCAGGGAATCAAACTCCGGTCAGCCGCGTGCAAGGCAAAAACCCTACCTGGTGTATTGCTCCAGCCCTAAGTTTTGTTCTGAACCTTTTTAAAGATCTGCTTCTGCCAGATATTAGTCACCTAGTAAGGATAGAAGGCGCTATTTTCACAGAGAATGTTAAATTCTTATTCCTTGGGTACTTGCCAACTGACCAATTAGTGGATTGGATTTTGAAGATGTTAAGCCAGAAGATTAGAAGGGGAAAGTTAGGGAAAAAGCATGCATTGATTTTCAATGGTACCCACATGATAACTATGTAGCACTGTCCTCCCATTGTTCATTGATTTGTCTCCATTGTGAGATTTGTTACTGTTTTAGGCATATGAATATGTCACGAGTAGCTTGCTAGGCTTTGCCTTATGGGCGGGATACTCCTTGTTAGCTTGCCTGGCTCTTTGAGAGGGCGAACCGGGTTGGCCGAGTGCAAGGCAAACACCCTACCTGCTAAGCGATCACTCTGGCCCACAATAACTATATATTATAATGCTGGTATAGTGATGTACTGGTGATGCATGTTGGAATTATACGTGGGAAACTATTAATGGCAGTATTATAAATCATGAAACCTCAATCAATTAAGAACTTTTAATATAAATAATTGTAATGCAATGATACTTCCATTAAAAAGAAAGCTGTTCTGTATATTCTAGGTCAAGGAGGAAGCACATTCCATTTAAAGTAGTTTGGGGGCTGGAGAGAGAGTACAGGGTTGGGTGATGGTCTTGCACCCAGACGACTCAGGTTCAATCCCCAGCACTGGGTATGGTCCAGTATAGCTAGGAGTGATCCCTTGGCACAGAGTTGAGAATTTCTGGATGTTCTCCCCAGCCCCTAAAAATAAGGAAAAAAAAAAGAAACAGCTTATAGAGGTTTTTTTTTATATTTTTATTTCAGACTTTTAAATATGATCGCTATCTTGATGAAGATGGGAAGATAAAGACTGCCTTCTACAGAAATGGACACAGGTTAAAATATTATTATATGCCTTTTGGATCAGGAGCCACAATATGTCCTGGAAGAATATTTGCTGTCCTGGAAATCAAGCAATTTTTGATTTTGATGCTTACCTATTTTGAGCTAGAGCTGGTGGAAAACCCTGTTAAATGTCCCCCTTTGGACCAGTCCCGTGCAGGTTTAGGCATTTTACCACCATTAAACGATGTTGAGTTTAAATATAAACGCAAATGTTCCTGAGAATGTAATTAGAGAGAGGTGATATCACAGGACTGAAGAACACATTGTATAGCTCTCTCTTTGGACAGATACCTTAACTGGTAGTGAAAGTGATATAGCAAGTCTAATTCTTGATCACTGACCTTTGCTTGTGAATCTGAATATTTGGGTGACAGTTTCTAGATTCCATCTCAGTCTATGCTGGTTAGAAGCACAACTGTTTTTGTTTGAATTAGTGAACGGTCATATAACCAGGACTGAACTTCATTTTTTTCACCCAGAAGAAAAAGCTTTTTGTTTGTCCAGAATGAAGATACTCCAATTGGCAGTCTTTTTTCCTAAGGAAATGAACTTATTTTTATAAAAGTTATCTAGTAAATTTGAAAAAGTTACAAATTCACGTTTTAGTGAAACCATGATTTTTTAATAAGAAGAAAATATCTTTTCATTTTCCCTATATCAAGTATTCACACTTTTAAAAATAATAATATACTAATTTCTGAACTACATTAAAGATAGTTTAATATTTCCATTTAAAGTCAGGGTTCAACTATCTTAACTATGTTTTCATTGGAGTTCATTTAGTGTGTATTTTTTTTCAGAAAAGGCAATTATTTTCTGGCATCACTAAACCTGAATCAATTAAAAGAATATAGGTTTTATGTGGCATATTTTTAAGTTAAAATAAATATTATCCCTATTAAGAGAAAACAGTCATTTAAATAGCTTTTAAATAGCCATTTAAAAGCATTGGGTGTAAAATGTGGGACATAGAGATCATTTAATATAATCTAGTATTGTACTTTAAATACTTTTTATATTTCAATATCATTCAATTGAAGAAAATATAATTTAAGGTGGGGCTGGAGCGATAGCACAGTGGTAGGGCGTTTGCCTTGCACGCAGCCAACATGGCTGACCTGAGTTCGATTCCTCCGCCCCTCTCGGAGAGCCCGGCAAGCTACCGAGAGTATCTGGCCCGCACGGCAGAGCCTGGCAAGCTCCCCGTGACGTATTCGATATGCCAAACACAGTAACAACGAAGTCTCCAATGGAGACGTTACTGGGCCCGCTTGAGCAAATCGATGAACAACGGGAGGACAGTGACAGGACAGTGATAATTTAAGGTTATTTGATAACCTTTAATGTGTATTACAGTGCTGAGGTGAGGTATTTTATGTACTGGAGTTATCAGTTATATTTTATTGATATTTCTGTATGTATTTATTTGTAAATTATGCTTACTTATTTCTTGTATTACAAATATTTCTGTACTAGAAAATATTGTTAAATTCTATAATTTTTAAATGATTCACCTTTCAGAAATATGTGTGAATGTTTTAAATTTTATATTAAGAATACTAAATACATTCATCTGAAAAGCTGCAAGAATTGTGTTCAAAATTTATTCCTTATAAGAAGCAAAATTGTCATTCACTTAAAAATTTCTCTACCAATCATGAAATTTATTAATTAAAAAAATCTTGTTATTTAATATTATCACAAAATTACCTGTTACATACATTAATTTCATAGTGAGAAAATTAAACTCTTTCAGATGTAGGTCATGATCAATAAAACTGTTTTATACTCGATTTTAAAAAATATTTTAAAATATGGTTTTACAATATTTTTTGTCTTTCTAAATGTACTCATATGTATTTCTACATCTTTATTTTTCACACAATAGAGGTTGACAATTGGTAGAACAAATGTCTTTCCACATGTTTTGGTATTGAAGGACAGTTTTTTAACTTTTTTTAGAGGTGTCCTTAGGGGTGCTAGGAACTCAGGGTCACACCCCGTGACACTCCACACACTGTTGACTGCTGATGGCTTTGTGTGTGGCCAGGTGGCACATGTGAAACCATCGAGCATGAGGATGGAAACTGGACCTGACAGTGTATATGAGGCACAATCCCCTTTGAGCTAGCTCACTACTCCATTGGATGGCTTGTTCAGGACTTACTCCTGGTTCTGTGCTCAGGGGCTACTCCTGATGGTGCTTGGGGGACCATATGTGGTGTTGGATATTGAACCTGGGTCACAGCAGAAGCAGCCACTTGTAAGGGTAGTAATTTAATGTCATACTATGTATTTGCACCCCCTACAGTTTTAAAGGGTTGAAAAAATAAAAAGAATTGCATTTTATAACATATAGCCATATAAAAAACTCAGATTTCCACATAAATATGAAGTGAATAGGTACATGTACACTCAATATTTCTTTCTGGAGCTCCTCTTGTAAAATGGTTGCTGAGCCGATTTGTTTCAATGGAGAGTGTCAGTGTGAAACCTAAAATAGTCCTTACAGAAAATTTCAATTCCTGATGTATAGAAATTCCAATTTTAACACTAACTTTATTAACTTATGTAAGTTACAAGTTTAACTATATATGTGTGTGTGTGTGTGTGTGTGTGTGTGTGTGTGTGTGTGTGTATGTACTGGTATATGAAGTTATTTTCTACTTAAAAAATAGACTATGAGTACCAGAGAGAGAGAGAGTAGAGCAGTTAAGATGCTTTTATTACACATGGTTGACCTTGGTTTGAATATGGTTATCCCACCCCACCAAAAGTGATGTCTAAAGTACAGCTAAATGTGGCCTAGAAACAAAAACAAAGACTGTGATTTAAAAAATTATAAGAAGAGCTGGACCGATGCCACAGCAGGTAGGACATTTGCTTTGCACTCAGCCAACCCAGGTCGATTCCCAGCATCCCATATGGTCCCCCAAGCACTTCCAGGAGTGATTCCTGAGTGCAGAGCCAGAAGTAACCACTGAACATCGCTGGGTATGGCCCAAAAAGCAAAATAATAATAATAATAATAATAATAAAAAATAGTAAATCACTTAATCACTTGATCACTTGATCACTTGACTTCCCTTAACTTCACTTAACGAATCGTCGATTTGCTCAAGCAGGTGCCAGTAACGTCTCCATTTGTCCCTGTTGCGTGCTAGTGTAGCCCAATGGCGTCTGTTCGCTCTAGGAACATGAACATGAAGAGCCTCAAACCATTCGTTCATGATCTTGATGAAGAAGTCTGACCATCTGGTAGGTGGACGGCCACGTAGTCTTTTGACATCCCATGGAATCCAGTTGGGAACGGCTCTAGTCCAGTGGTCGTCTGTAAATCTCATTACATGACCAGCCCATCTGATTTTTGACACCTTGGCAAACGAGACAGTGTCCCTGATTCTTGATCATTGACGGAGGTCGGAACTCCGGATTCTTTCTCTCATTTGAGTGAAACGTGATATTCCAAGCATAGCTCTTTCAATTCCTCTTTGGGAGACCAAATAGCATTCTCATCCTGTTTGCGTAGGGCCCAGGTCTCTGAGGCGTATGTTAATGCAGGAAGAACAGTGGAATCAAAGAGATGTGCCCAGAGCCAGAGGTTCTTCGTCCTCTTAGCTATTTCTTCGACGTTCTTGAAGGCGTTCCAAGCTGCTCTCTTTCTCCTGTGCAGCTCAGGTGCCAAATAGTAAATAAATAATGCCAAATAGCAAATAAATAAATAAATAAATAATTATAAGAGATGAGAAGACACTCGAAGACATCCAGATCACCAAAAGGCATATGAAAAAGTTTTCACCATCATTCATTATCAGGAAAATAGAAAGTCAAATGACAACCAGATATCACTTCATACCAGAGAAAATTACCTACATATAAAAGACTAGGAAAAATCCATGTTAATTTAGATATGCTGAATTAGAAATCCTTGTTCACTATTGATGGGAATGTCATCTGGTTCAACATCTATAGTTATGGAGACTTCACAACATATCAAAAAATAAAATTTCCACATGACACAGAAAATATATTCCTTGGTATCTATCTTATGAATACAAAGTATAAAATGAAATACATTCTGGACCCAAGAAGATAGTACAGGGGTTAGGACACTTGCTTTTCATGTAGCAGCCGACCTCAACTTGAATACCTGGTACCACATATGGTCCCCCCAGCAACAGCAGGAGTGATCCTTATCGCAAAGTTAGGAGTAATCCCTTCGCACTGCTGGACGTGACTCCTCAACCAATAAATAACTATATACATAGTTCCACATGCACACACATACCTATGTTCATTGCAGCACTATTTACAATTTCAAGATATTGAAACAACCCAAATGCCCAAGACATTTGAGTGACTAAAGAGTAGTACAAATACAAAATAAAATACTATATTAGGCTATAGAAAGATGAAAACTTGCCTGTGGGTACAATTTTGCTGAATCTAGACTCTAGAAGTTTAAACAAAACAAGTCAGAAGGAGAAGTACAAATACTCAATGATCTCACTCTTGGGAATAGTCATTATCTAATGAAAACAAACCTTTGCACTTTGACTACACAGCTAAGTTACAAGTGGTGGAAAATGAGGGGAGGTGAGAGGTGGGGAGGGAAGAAACAGACTGGAACTGGCATAAGGACATTGATGAAAGATCTTTGGCATTTTGGTGGGGGGAGAGGTACATTGACTTCATACACAAAAATCATAACCACTAACACTATTGTATAATGTTACCTTAACAACTATAAGGAGGTTTTTTTGTTTGTTTGTTTGTTTTTTGGGTCACACCCAGCGATGCACAGGGGTTACTCCTGGCTTTGTAGTCAGGAATTACTTCTGGCGGTGCTCAGGGAATATATGGGAAACTGGGAATAGAACCTGGGTCGGCCGCATGCTAGGCAAACACCCTACCCACTGTACTATCGCTCCAGCCCTATAAGAAGTTTGAAAAAAGAAAAAAAAATTTAAAATGTTCCACCTTCAAAAAAAATGTGATGCAGCTACATTAAAAACTAATTTTCTTGTAAATAACCTTAAACTTGCAACTTTATTGAAAACCTAAATCATTTCATTTGGGCAAAAGATCTTCCTTTGAAACAGGAAGCCTAGAATAAAAAAAAATATAGTAGCCTGTTGTAAGAACAAATTGACTAAAGGGTAAATATCAAGAATAAAATTTATTGCCTGTGACTGAGGCCAGCTTCAGATGCACCATTTTCCTTGGTTCTTAGGAGTCCTTTGAGGTGTCCGCTACTATAACCCTTTTGTTACAGAGGAGAGAAAAGGTGAATTCTAAAAAGCTAAATCACGGGCCCAAGGTGCCAATCCTGGCAGATAGAGCAGGGAGTGTATTGGACCACATTGCTCTAAGCCTGCATTCGGTATTTGTGGCAGGACCAAGTGGCAAGCCATCCTGACCCAGGTCATTGAAATAGCCTAGAGTAAACAAAAACCCTGATGTCATTTTTGTCCCAAATCTTTGTTATATGGGTGCACTATTTGTCCAGCTAGAGGACTCTTCGGCTGCTGTGTTCAGCTGACCCTGAGTTACCAGGAAGTGGAGGATCCTGATCTTGCAAGGACTAAAAGCCTGTAGAGTCACAGTGTACATACAGATTCAACATCGAAATGTGACGCCATGCTCCCCTTCACACTGAAAGATTTTCTTCCAGCTCTCCAGCAGCTTGGAGTTGTTAACTGTGGAATCTTTTAGGCTCATTCTTAGACATGTTGAATCAATTGCAGCTTCAACCTCCATCCTGTTAGTGCATAATGCAGGTTCACTTTTCAGCCCCTTGTCTTACAACCTTGGTTAGTTGCAGGTCAGTATCATAAGCCTAGAAAGTGTCTCCAGGAAAGCAACACCAATGCTTCATAGTGTATTGTGGACTGTTCACACTTATTTTTGTCTATGCTCTTTTTTTTCTTTTTCTTTTTCTAATTCAAAGTACTGTGCTTTCCAATAATGTTAATAAAAGAATTTCATGCAAACAACTTTCCAGCATCCCTGCTCCCCCCCACGAGTGTCAGCTATCATTTTAGTTCAAAATTGACATCTGGTAATTTTACAAAGACTACACAGCACATTACAGGATAAGTCTGTGTCTTAGAAAGGTCCTATTTTCATAGCAAATACTGTCTACACTGAATCGACCAGTTTATATTTAACACTGAGGACCACCCACTCTCCCAGACTATTTGCAAACCCATGGCTCATTTCTTAGCTCATTTTCCATTAAAAATAATTAGAATAAAATTAGCAATACTAAACCAACTCATCATTGACAAATAGAATGACAAATTTCCAAAAATTATGAGAGTTTGTGATGCAGAGCTTAGAAGAGAGGGAAGGGATCTGAGAGGAAAAAATCCTATTCTCTACTTAAACCCTCACAAAATTTCAACCCTGGAAAAACATTTGAGGAATGCAGTTGAAGATTCTTCACTTTAATTGGTATTCAGCAGATGGTCATGCTTTACATACGTTGCAGCCTAAAATTTTTAAATAATTATAATAAACTGCTGTAAGAACAAATTGATCTGAAGGATATATATCAAGAATAAAATTTACAGTCTGTACCTGTGCTGATTTTGTTTAGTTACAATTTCTTTTTCTAGGGGTGGAAAGACATATGGAGGGTAAGGTGCTTGCTTTGCACACAGCTGGCCCTGATTCGACCATATGGCATCCCATATGGTCCCAGGAGCACTGGCAGTAACCCCTAAGCATTGCCAGGTGTGGTCATAAAACAAACAAAAAAACAATTAATTTTTCCTTAAGTTCCAAAATG